TGCAAATCCCCACTTCATACTCCCTACAATGCTGGCTGTGGCCTCGGTCAGTATCTTGCTGTTTTGCTTGGCTGTTGGTGTGGGTCCTGGCAGGGCTGAGGCAGATGCCATTCATGTTCAAGCTACACGTGCTTTCTGAGCTGTGCTAGTGCTCTGACTGCAGCTTTCTGCCTTACAGATTCCTGATAAGCAGTATGTGCTGACTGCCCTGGCTGCCCGTGCCAAGCTGCGAGCCTGGGATGATGTGGATGCCCTCCTCACCACCAAGGTGAGCTGCAGAAAGCTTTGCCAGGGACCCAGTTCCAAGTACTGGTATCTGCTACTGATAGCTGGCTTGTTCTGGAGTTACTGGACAGACTGGTTTTATTTCAGCAGCGCCCAGCACCTCTGCTGCAGAGTGTTGCAATACCTTTCTCCTCTCGTGGCCTAAGACCTCTGCTGGGCCTGGCTTGGCTGCAGCAACAAGGTTGGAGAAGGACCCTTGAGCTCCCTTACCAAAGGGTTTGCAGCCAGCCTGTGCCCAGCCCCTGCGTGAAGGGCTCTGCCAAGGGTGCTTTTGATGGCTGGTATAGTATGTTGCTGGTGCTAGGAAAAAAGCATTTTCTTGTGGCTGGAGGAATTGCCCTTCTGGTTTAACATAGGTTTGGTTCTTGTTTCAGAACTGGCTGGGCTACACCAAGAAGAAGGCACCTATTGGCTTTCACCGAGTTGTGGAAATGTTACAGAGGAACAATGCTCCTGTGCAGGTAAACAAGGAAGCACTGCTTATGTCATCTTGCTCTTTGTTGGGATTTGGTGTTATAATAACTCCCCAAGTGAGCTGCTTCCTAATTTGGAGTGTGAGAACAGTTTGCCGAGCTGCTGGCTCTGCCATGTGGGCACAGCACTTGGCTGAGTGACCCATGCATCAACAGGAAGTGTGGGTGATAGTGAGGGCTGGGTCCTAGGTCTGACTGCAAGAGGGACAGCGGGTCTAGAGTTGTCTGTGAACTCTCTCCCTCTGTGAATTGCCACCTTTCTTTGCTATATTAAATTTTCTCTTGCTTAATTGGGCTGGCAGTGGTTAACCTGATCCATAGGAATGAGGTAGCCTTGGACTCTGAGCTTTGTGAGCAAAGCTTTACTGCCTCTGGGGTCCTGACCAGTCTTTTCCAGGTCACTTGTTCCCTTAGGAAGGACGGGGTCAAGTCTGTGTGACTGGCAATCTTGAAAGGTTTTGGGACTAAGGTGAGAGAACAAGGCAGGAGGTACCTGCAGAAGGGAGCTGAGACATTCTTCCATCTCTGGCAGGTGCTGCAGGAGTACGTGCGCCTGGTGGAGGATGTGGAGACCCGGTTGAACCTTGCTACCAAATACAAGTGCCATGATGTTGTCATTGAGGTAGGCACCTGCTGTATGTGTGAAAAGATGGGACATGAGCCTGCTTTTTCTCTCTAGCTTTTCTGTGCGCTGCCACATGTCACTGCTATCATGTGCCTGGTGAGGTTTCTTGATCCCTGTGGCCTGGGAAAAGTGGTAAAGTTCCCAGTGGAAGTCCAGTGAGCCAGGAGAGTGACTCCTAGTATTTGTGTTATGAAATTGTTCTGTGTTGGGAACTTGATGGGGGATTGTAGAGTTGCCCTTCTCATCTCCACGGCACCAGCTCTGGAAGTGTCCAGTTCACTCAGCTGGATGTTGGTTTTGCTGTTTATCTAGACCTACAGGGATCTAAAGGATCGTATCCAGTTGACAGCATATAAGTGCAAGGTAGAGCGGGGCTCTGCAGAAGAAGAGAAGATAAACAGTATTCTCAACAACATGGTAAGAAGCTCTTACTTTTTCTTCCAAAGACTCTCATCAGAAATAGACATAGATAAGGTGTAAGGGCATGGTTGTGCTACATACTTTCTATCCCTGCTGGGAAACTAATCTTATGTTTGGGGTTGCATTCAGCATAGGAATAAATGGTTATACTGTTGGAAAGTGCACCCTCTAGCCATAGCTGTCCTTGTCAGGGTTTGGGAGTCACTAACTTGGCCCCTAAGGGATCTATGTTCAGCATTGCTGTTAGTCATGTCTTGTTCTCTCTTTTAGCAAATCCGGTGGAAGAACTGAGCACCTGTGAAGGAGCCTGTTTGCCCATTGCCTTGTCACTGAAGGTGGAAACTGCAAAACCCAGTCCAGTGTCAGCAGAGCAGCTCTGTTTCTAATCATTGTATGATCAGCGTTTGTCAGTGACAGTGGGTGCCTATGGCTTGAGGGACAGTGGCATTCAGGCTGGTTGAAGGCAGCTACTCAAATGTAGCCATCAAAATCATGGTACTGATCCATCAGGGTTGATTCTTTTTGGAATCTGATTGTCTTTGACTTGGCTGTAAGCCAGGCATCACTTTTGTTTATGGAGGGAAGTTGCTAGGCACAGCAAGGTTAATGTTTGCTCTGGGTGGTGCCTGGGCTTATTGTTGCAAGAGGAACAGTCAGTCACACTTGTGAGTCTTTCCACTAGACAGTGCTGACCAATCCCTGTAACACTCAAGCTGGCTTGGGCATCACCAATCATGGCTGTGGCTGGAGTAAGGCCTACTGGACCTAGTTCTCCTTGTGTCCAAGAGTTGGGGGAAAGGACCAGCTGCACCTTAAAAACTCTTTTTTTTTTTTTTTTTTTTTTTTTTTGTTGGTTTGTTCTGGCTCACTCTAGGAAAAGAGGTGTGTGAACTCCTGCAGAGAGCCAGGACAGCAGCCTCTGCCAGTATCCTACTGCTGGCACTTGGAAGATCCCTTTATCAGGGAAAGACAGGCAGCTAGTGTGGAGCTGGTTAGAGTCCTGTTGGATTGGATGGAGAGCAAGCAGGGACCCCTCTCAGTTGACACAAACCTGCTGGCACCAGCAGCTCTTTTCTCTGAGAGTGTTATGCCAGGAAGGATTGAACTGCACTTTCTCAGAAACACAACTCCTCAGGCAACTGCTGGCTTCATCCTTCAAGACCTCACTTCAACTCCTTAAATAAAGCTGTTTCTTTCTCCTTGGGCTGTTTGTTTCCTTCCTGACTAAGCACATTGTCACCCTTATGTGCTGATCCTGAGCAATTTATCACACCTCTCACAAAGTGAATATGCAGGGTGTTTTCTCATGTTCTGAAAAGCACAGTGCATGTCACCATGGAGTGGCTTTGCTTTCAGCACTACCTTATTTCACACTTTCAATGCCATCAGCACAGATGAAATAATTTTAATGTTGTAGGAGACTTTGCTGCTGCAGGGGGGTCAAACAAACACGAGGGTAGGTTTGGATTCCAGCTTCCCTGCTGCACTGCACACTCTCATTTTTTTCTGTTGGTGTATATGTTTTTCCTTACAGAATTGTTTGGGTTGGAAGGGACCTTTTCATCATCTAGTCCAATCATGCTTTAGCAAGGTCACCTGGAACAGGCAGACCAGGACTGTGTCTGTTTGGGGTTTCAGTATCACCGCTGTAGACAACTCAGCTTCTTTGGGAAACCTGTTCCTGAATTTGGCCACATTCACAGTAAGAAGGTGGGGTTGTGTCTTCAGATGGACTGAAGTCACGTTTCAGTTTGTGCGCCTTGTCATCACTGGGCACCACTGAAAAGCATCTGGGTCCCTTCATTCCTTCTCATCAGATACTTAGACACATTGATAAAATTTCCCCTGAGCCTTCTCCAGGTTCAACAACCCTAGCTCTTGGCCTCTCCTCATATGAGAGATCCTCTAATTCTGTAGACATTTTAGTGGCCCTTTGCTAGACTCTGTCCAATATCTCCATGTCTCTTTTGTACAGAGGAGCCCAGAACTGGACATGGCATTCTGGATTTAGAAAGCAAGGATTACCTTCCTTAACCTACTGGCAACATTCACCCTAAGACAACCTAGGATGCTGTAGACTAGGCTGAGGTTTGCTGCAAAGCTCTTACAAATGCTCCAGTCCGGGATGTTGCCTGGTTGTAGGAGTTGGAACAGTGTCACTGGTTGGGATTTATGTCAGGGAGCAACAGGAGAAGCTGAATATAGCCTTGTAGGTATCTGATGAAGCTATAAAATAAATTTTCACACCTGTATTCTCCAAGCATGAAGTGCTCCTGATGCTGAGCTGGGCTCTGTGCCCCAGTGTCCGTGTTTCCACCACGTGTCCTGAGAGCCTGGGTAAGTGCTCCCCAACCTGGGCCTGGAAGTGGGATTGCACTTACACGCACTTTAAGTACACTTTTCTCACAGCACTTCCAGCAGAACCCACTGTCTGCCAAACATCAGTTTAGTTGTTTGCTTTTTTTTTTACCAGTCCCAGCTGAGGGTGGTGGAGACATTAACACTGTCCTTTGAATGCTGGCTATTTTAATTTAGTCCACTCCATTCCTGTGGCTTTTCAGAATTCTCCTTGTTATTTACTAAGAACTTGGTCAGTGACTGAGACTCCAGGTTGTTAAACATTAACCTAGCAGAAACCATCTCCCCCACAGGGTGGTAGCGCTGAAACAGAAACATTGCTCTCCTTGTTTCATGGCTGCAGGGTCAGTTGTGACAAGCTTCAAGCTGGGCTATGAAGGCCCAGCCAGGAGAGGAGATCGGCCTGCAGCACTGCAGCAACTGCTTCCATACACACTGTCAGCTGCCCCACAAACTCTTAGATAAAACAAGACAAGTGGGGAGAATGGTCCTCTGGGGAGAATGGTCCTCCAGGGAGATGCTTGGAATAAAATCCTCTTTCTAATCATCTCAGGGAGATAGGAAACAGGGATTATTCAATAGCTTTTTATAGATCTTGAAAACTAGCCAGATCCCAAGGCTTGGCTACTTCAGCTTTAATTCAGCCCACATGAACTGGGCCAGGAAGCTGAGCTCTGTGCATGTTTGTCCCTGGCAGAGAGGCTGCCTGTTTTGTGTCATTCTGCTGCTACCCTTTGCCATGTAGGAACAGTGATGGGAAGCCACCAAAGTCCTCTATGCCACTGTGGGCAGGCAGACAGCAGTCCCAACCTCGAAGCAGTGGTTTGTGTTTCACCTGCATGTGGCAGAGCACAGGTAATCGTGCTTCCAGTGCCCAGAGGTGCTAGTCGGTCACCTCTGCTCTCTCTGTGGGCTCGAGTCCCTTTCTCCTTGCTAATCTCGGCAGTCCTGTGGGGGCAGAAGCTCACATGCTTTTACAACAGTGCTCAGCTGGTGTCCTGGGTGGACATTGCATTCCTCTGCTGTCTCTCATCAAACAGGGATGTCCACCTGCTCTGCCATTTGTCCTGTCATCCAGGAGCCCCGCATTGTGTACAGCTTTGACACCTCCATCCCTCTCTGCAGGAACTACACTGGTAATTAACATTCTATTTCATAGAATCATAGAATCACAGAATCAGCCAGGTTGGAAGGGACCTCCAAGATCATCAAGTCCAACCCTTGATCCACTACCGCCATGGTTACTAGACAATGGCACTGAGTGCCACATCCAGTCTCATCATAAAAACCTCCAGGGACAGAGAATCCACCACTTCCCTGGGCAGCCCATTCCAATGCCTAATTACCCTCTCTGTAAAGAATTTCTTCCTAATATCCAACCTAAACCTCCCCTGACACAGCTTAAGACCATGCCCTCTTGTATTGCTGATAGTTGCCTAGGAGAAGAGACCAACCCCCACCTGGCTACAACCTCCTCACAGGTAGCTGTAGAGAGTGATGAAGTTTCCCTTGAGCCTCTCCAGGCTGAACAACCCCAGCTCCCTCAGCCTCTCCTCATAGGACTTCTGCTCCAGTCCCTTCACCAGCCTTGTTGCTCTTCTCTGGACCTGCTCCAGCACCTCAATATCCTTCCTGAACTGAGGGGCCCAGAACTGGACACAGTACTCCAGGTGTGGCCTCACCAGCGCTGAGTACAGGAGAAGAATCACTTTCCTGGACCTGTTGGCCACACTGTTCCTGATCCGGGCCAGGATGCCATTGGCCTTCTTGGCCACCTGGGCACACTGCTGGCTCACGTTCAGCTTCTTGTCAATCCAAACTCCCAGGTCCCTCTCTGCCTGGCTGCTTCCAGCCACTCTGTCCCCAGCCTGTAGTGCTGCCTGGGGTTGTTGTGGCCAAAGTGGAGGACCTGGCACTGGCCTTGTTGAACTTCATCCTGTTGGAACCAGCCCAACTCTCCAGCCTGTCCAGGTCCCTCTGCGGAGCCCTCCTGCCTTCCAGCTGATTGACACTCACCCCCAACTTAGTGTTATCTGCAAATTTGCTGATGCTGGACTCAATCCCCTCATCTAAATCATCGATAAAGATATTAAACAGGACTGGACCCAACCCTGATCCCTTGGGGACACCACTAGTGACCAGCAGCCAACTGAATGCAGCCCCGTTCCCCACCACTCTCTGGGCCCGGCCCTCCAGCCAGTTCCTAACCCAGCACAGAGTGCCCCTGTCCAAGCCATGGGCTGCCAGCTTTTCCAGGAGTATGCTGTGGGAGATGGTGTCAAAGGCTGTGCTGAAGTCCAGGTAGACACATCCACAGCCTTCCCCTCTACCAGGTGGGTCACCTGATCATAAAAGGAGATCAGGTTGGTCAGACAGGACCTGCCCTTCCTAAACCCATGCTGGCTGGGTCTGATCCCTTGTCCATCCTGTAGGTGCTGTGTGACTCCATAACCTTGCCAGGCACTGAGGTCAGGCTGATGGGCCTGTAGTTTCCCGGGTCCTCCTTCTGGCTCTTTTTGTGGATTGGCGTGACATTCACCAACTTCCAATCATCTGGGACCTCCCCAGTGAGCTAGGACTGTTGGTAGATGATGGAGAGCTCTTCTGCCAGCTCCCTCATCACCCTTGGGTTTATCCTTCAAGGAAAACAAAAATCAATCCTGAATAGCTGGTGACCATTTTTTATGCAGCCCTGAACAGCAGCACGTGGCAGAACCTGCCTCACCAGAAGGCACTGAAACTACTCAGTGGCCTCAGTTTTCCTGAATGCTGCTCCGTGTGGGCAGAGCAGAAAACTTCCTGTTCAGGTTTGTGTGCAAGAGTTTTGTCAGCAAGAGTTTTGCCTCTTCGATGACTCAAGAGGAGAAAGTAAATGGTTTAATGCTGAGGTACTGCTTGTCCAGGCTTCCTCTTCGCTCTGAAACTTGCCTCATCCCACAGCTAAAACATGGGCTGTCTTATTGGGTTGGAAGATGCTGAACTCTGTGTTGCCCTTAGGACCACATACCTGCCAGGGAAGATTGTCTTAGATGATGTATTAGCAATAAAAGACCTGGACTGAGTTATTTTGTCCCTGTTTCCTGTTTGTTTACTTATCAGGGTTGTCTGAAGCCAATGAGCAGGACTGGGGCACCAGATGAAGAAAACAAAAATTCCTATGGGAATATCTAGAGAGGACAGTTCTTAGGGGTAATGAACTTATGGTAGTTCATGAACTAGGATATTTAGACAGGGGAACACTGCTTGAGGGAAATTACTCTTACTTGTGCAGGATTGTTCTAGAGCCATTAGGCTCAGTTTTGCTCCACTTGGCAGAGTAATGCCTGGAACATTTTATATTCAAGTCTTTGAGTCTGATTGTTTCTCAAAGGCCCAAGGAAGAGTCTTGCAGTCAGACATTGAAGAAAATCATTATTTGTCACCTTATTAACAAGCTGCTTTGGACTGCAGTTTTCTGCAAATGTTTTTATTTGTTTTCTCTTCCCAGAACCTTTTCCTGGTTTGACTTGACAGCTGTACCAATGAGAAAGTCTCTCTTTAGCCAGCTGCTAGAATAGAGAGAGCTCGTCCAGTGCCATCCCATCCTGGTGCTCTACTAGACAAGGCATCCTCTGGAGACTGGTCCACAAAGCAATGTGGGTAATCAGCACTAATTAGCTGTAGTGTGACACTGGATAACAAGTCTCCATGCTTCACAGCTGCTTCCAACATTTTCTCAGAAATTCCAGAGGAAACTGCTGAGTATGATTCCAAATTCTCATAAACCATAATGAAGCCCATGCAGAATGCTTTGCTGAGATCTCATCCCAGCCTCCTCATGGAACTAAGGGGTGTGAGAACCAGCACTGTTCGCTCTCGGACTTTTCAAACTATTCCAGGTAACAACCCTGTGTACACATTTTCTTCTACACGTTTCACTCTCTAGACTGTTCAACAAACCCACTTACCCCTGGCTGCTTGAGCTTTTCTCTTTTTTTTTGTCTGAATTTGCTTATTACATAGTCTTCCTGGCCTATGAACTGCTTCAGTTTCACTGTGTTTCTGTTGCAGCTTCAATAGAAAACTGAATTACAGAAAAAATTACATATATTTTGTAGTGACTACTGCTTTGGTGTAACAAACTAAACAGGATTGGGCCCAGTCTTTTTTTATCCTTTTATTTTTTTAATCCCCGTGGGGGATCTCAAAGAAGCCATTGAATCCTGGCAACATACTAATGATTTAGTCAGGAGCACTCTTTCTGTTGAGCCAGGCTTTAATTAGCACTTCTACTTCCTTGCTGGTAATAATGCACTCCACCCTCACCATCACAGACCATGTGATATATCATTCAAGGAAAAAGGAAGTAACTGGTCAATCTGCCCAAATCCACCCAGGAGAAAGCAAGCTTTATTCCCTAAATTCTCTGGTTCAGCTTACAGTATTCTCTCATGCTTCTTGCCACCAGCTATCGTGTTTCAGTACTGTTTACCATGATAAGACACTGCCTTCCCGGTTTTGCCTCACAGGAAATAATTTCTGTGGTGAGGCCAGGGACTAGTTGTGCACATTGCAACGAGGCCTCTCACTTAATTATGATGGCTGACAGCAGCTGTAGCCACATCTGTTATGCCTGTTATTGTATGTGCCATACATACAATAACATACACTTGGGCTTCAAAGTGAGCCCAGTCTGCCGGCACTAAAGACTGGGAGAAATCTACTCACTTGAGCATCTGGCAAGTTGTCGTCAATCACTTGTGGTTAAAATATGCATATGATTGTTTTTTGGTCTTTTTAATCAACTGTGAAGCAGAAGTGAAAGACAGACAGTGGTCTGACCTAGAGCTTCTGCTTCACTTGGTTCCTATAAGCAAATGAAGGATTGCAGGAAAGAGACAATGTGGGGATGTGTTTGGTCTAATCAAATGTCTAAGAGCTGCGGTGGCCTTTTCTATAATTGGGAAAAGGCAGAACTGCACCTCCTTGGACAATCTGCGAGGTAATAAGGGTCTAGTCTGCTGTTACTGCTGGGCTTCTTACAAGGTGGAAGTGCAGCCTGAGTCTCTAATTCTGCCTCTGGGTGTCCTGTGAGACGGGGAGAGCATCCGCTCCCACCTCGGTCTGGGATCCTTCCAAAGAAGGAACTGTATCCGCTTCCACTCTGGTCTGGGACTGTGGCAAAGGAGGAACTGTAGTATAGGACTCCAGTCCTGCTTTTTTGATAAACTCTGTGAAAGTGAGGGCATCTGCTTTCTTTCCTGTTTGGGACTTTCTCTCTAGGAAGAGACCCATGTTGTCTCTGTATGGGAGGGCAATGGGTCTGCTGAAGAGAGGCTCCTCAATCCCCAGCAACTCTCGCACATGTCGTGAAATTTCCTGAAATACAAGATAAAATGCCACAAATTCTCATTTCACAGGGCAACAGCTAAAACTATACATTCTGTGTCAGAGCAGCAGGAAAAAGAACTGAATTTCTGAATTTTGGAACAGTTTCACACTTGAAGTTGCAACATAAGAGGGATCTGAACCCATAAGCCCCATGTGACATTGTAAAAGCAGAGCAGATCCCTTTTTCTCCAGAATTACTGTGGAGGATGACATCACATCTGGTCTCTTAGTGGCATAAATATCTCCATTTTCCTCTTTGCACTTGAAGAACAAGCAAGTTATAGGTGAATGAGCTGCAATCTCTCCTGCTTATTTCAAAATCATTGCTGTTTGTTAAGTTATAAAGTCAACAGCAGAGTCTAAACACAAGAGTAAAAACTAATTAGCAGTAAGTCATATTGCTCATTAGGAAAATGGCTGTGTGAGCCAGCTAGACCTGGAACTGTCAGTGAACAGAGCCTTGCCATTATTTTTGAAGTCACTTCTGAGAATGTAACCATCTGATTCGACTGAAGCTTCAAAATACAATTCTCAAAGTTTTACTGATTTTTCATAGTATTTGCTCAAAATCTTCTCCCAACTTGGGCTTGACTCTGAAGAGTAGTACCCTACTTTGTGTGATAAACAAAGAACACCACACTGGTATCTTCAGTGGTTTTGATATACAAAATACCAATACAGTGGGGATAAAAACAGCAGTAATGTCACTTGTCCATGCTGCATTGCTTCCACATAATTAGCTGTGTAGTTCTCTACCAAATTGCCATTTCCCCTAAACTGCAAACAGTTTCTGTCTCACTGAGCTGATGCTATAACTTTTATTTCTATAGTAACTGTATCAGTTTCAACTGCTCACAGCCTTTAGTTTATATTTCTTGTTGGGAAGTGATGGCCTTAATGTTTCACCTGCTCTAGCGTACACTTCCTGAAAGACTCACAGGGCCACGTCCTGCAGAGCTCTGCATGCTTGGATTTCATCACAGAAAAGTTCTTTAAAACACAAATAACTAACAGGATAAGGCATAACCTTCAAGAACATCTAGGTTCCACTGAAGTCTGTGAGATGTTCCCAGTTTACTTGCAAGATTTGGAAAACATTACAGAGACAGTCTCATTTCCAAGCTTGCTGCACTATGCTGGCTATCACTTATCCTGAGGAATTTCACTTCCTACAGGAGGAAGGTTATAGCTGGTACCTTTAACCCATGGCTAAGTATTTCTCAACAGTTGCATTACCACCATACACAATCCCTATATCCCAATATGAGGCTGAGGCTTACAAAGGATATAAAGTTCTTGCCACCTTTGGTAAGCACAAATGACTATAAAGGTTCTATCTGCTTGTACCTGAAATATTCTTGAAGGGCTGCTGTCTGAAAACCTAAGTGTTGTAAATTGATGCTTTCCTCTCAAAGCAGCAGGCAAACTCATGGCTCTAGTCAGTCTTTTTGGTGGCATATATCGTTTCAAATAGTTTAGATTGTGCAGCCAGGCAGAACAGTAGTGAAATAGCATTTTGGTGCTTAAGAACAAATCAAACTGTGCTAATACTCTAGTCATTAGAGCATAAGGATTTTTCTCCCTTTCAGGTTATTTGAACTTCTACCTATGTCTTCTGGGGAAAGTAACATCAAATTATGATGCAAAACAGACAATTTGGCTCTGTAAATGCAGCCCCAAGTCCCTCTGAGGTTTCCATTAGGGAAGGGAAGAAGGCTTATGAAATTTAAGTCAACTTGTTGATTTTCTGAACCTTTAGGAAGCTCTGGAAGGCCATATTGTAACCCCCAAAGTCAGTTCTTAACCATCAGTGTCTGTTAAAAAAATATGCAGGTTTGAAAAGAAAATGTCCAAAACAAGGAAGTAAAAATGAGTGGCCTTTTTGCCGCTTGAGATCAGTGGCTCAACTGCTGCAGGTTAAATCTGACTAGATTTTCAGAAGTTCTACAAATGTGTAAGTGGAAAATTACTATAAAAAAATTCCGAGTGGTATCTAAAAAAGGTCTGTGCATCTTGCTAAGCAGTTTTATGAGCCCAGGGGAACAACATAGGCTTAAAGAAAGGTCAAGTACTCCTGGTGCACTTCTGGTGCCCCAGCTGCAGCCAGTTAAAGATCTGTACTTGAAAAGACTCTAAAATGTGACTGTTTGGCTGAACAAGTTTGGTTGTCCAGTTCCAGGCTCATTCTTTGAATCCACGATCTGCCTGGCAGGCAGGTCATGGCCCAGCCTGCTTCTCAGCGATAAGGGTCAGCGAGGGGAGGCAGGGGGCTGAGGGAGCCCCGGGACCCGCCAGGCGCACCTGCATGTGGCCGAAGTCCGTGACGCCCATGGCGGGCAGGTTGGAGCAGTTGGCGAGGATGAGGCGACGGCCGGTGATGCCGTTGGCCCTGAAGCATTCCTGGGCAGGGGAGCGGAGGGAGAGGCGGGTCGCCCTCTGCCACTGCCGCCCCTCTTGCCGCTCACACACACGCTCGCACACGCACACATACACACACGCACACACATACACACGCACACACACACACACACACACACACACACACGCACACACACACACACGCACACACACGCACACGCACACACACGCACACGCACACACACGCACACACACACACACACGCACACACACACACACACGCACACACACACACAGAGCTCAGGGCCATCGGTGCAGGGGGCGCTCAAGGCGGGGGCAGCCCCGCACCTCGTACTGGGGGAAGCCAAGGTGTGCCACCCACTCCGCCACCTCCTCGGCACTCCAGGTCAAGAAGGGGCAGGTGGACCGCGGCACTCCCGCGCCCTGGAGCTTGGGCTCAGGCTCCCGCCCCTCGGGCCCCGGGCGCGGCTCCATCAGTATCAGGCTCCAGGCCGCTCCGGCGTCTTTCCGGGATCCGTTACCATGGTAACCGCCACTTTCCGGAGGCGCACCTCGTTCTCCCTTCCGCCACCCCCTCCGCGCTGTCAGCCTGCAACGCCGCCCGCGCCCCACGGCTCTGCAGAACTAGATGCTGATTGGCTGCGTTGCCGAGGGGGGAGGCTGAGGGATGAGCACCAAGGCGCCACCATCTCCCTCCTGCCGGGATCACACTCCCCCGCTCGGGTGTTTCCGCCGCCCCGCTCGGGTGTTTCCGCCGGGCCGGCCGCCGCGGTTCGGCCCCGCTCGGGTGATTCCGCCGTCCCGCCGAGCCGTGCCTATGTCGGCCGCGCTCTCCGCCGCCGCCGGCTCCCGCTTCGAGCCCCCGGGCGGCGGCACCGCGTCCCGGGGCCCCGCAGGTACGGGCTGGGTA